ATATATATATATATATATATATATATATATATATATATATACATATGTATATACGAGTTTGAAGTGATATTAAATTGTTTACTAAAATTTTAAATTTTAATTTTTTCATTTGAAAAATTAAAAAAATTAATATCTAAGAGTTTTGTACGAACCTTTTTGTGACAGAAATGGAGCGATTACCGCACAGCCGGATTGCGGTCTATGGCCATAATTAGGAAAGAAATCCACATTACCAGTTTTCAATGCTAAACCATAGATACCCATATCAGTGTGTATAATATCTACAAACTTAGCATCAGAAGATATCAAATGAGAATCCGGAAAATAAAACAAAGGACCAGCAGGATCTAAACCTATAAAAAAAGTTTTATTTACAATAAATAAAATTTATTTAATAAATTTAATAAAATTCAAAAAATATTTTAACTTAATAACTTAAATTTTATACCATCAATAAAACTGCAATGTACTATTTATCAAATAAAGATCACTTTTTATTAAATTATTAACTGTATAGCTTTTTCAAGAAAGTCACTAAATAGCCACTAAATTTAATTGACATTAGAAATATAAAAATTCATTATAAAGAATACCTGTTATTCTAGGTATTATAAAGTTCACATTGCGAGCAATTCTTGCTGCAAGTTGTGCACCTAGCGAGTGTCCAATTACATGTATCTTTTCCGAATTTACACCATCATTTACTAATGTATTTAAAGCATCAGCAACAAGTTTGCCAAGATCATTAATCGCATGTGCAGCAATTAAATAATTCGCATGCGTGATATTTCGATAATCAAGAGCTAGGACATTATCCTGCGTATAATTTAAATACACTGTAAAATAATTGTATTAATTATAAAATAATTTACTTAATTTGTAAAATAACTGTATTAATTACTTTTAAATAACATATAATGCAATGTACGTTTTATCATAACATGATATATAATATGATAAGGAAAATTTTTTATTTAAATGATAAAAAATAGTTTTATAAAACTTATAATATTGATTTGAATCAGTTTATAAATAAAAATAAATGTATTTTTTATCGTTTTTTAAGTTAATTGCTTAGTTTTAATTTTACAATTTTTTTGAAAAAATTTATATCATTTAAAATCATCATCTATTTATCACTATATAGCACAAATTAAATTATTATTTTACTATATTCTGTAATTTTATGTATATCATTTTAAAAATTTAAAAAATTATTATTATTATTTTAAACCTAATTAAATTTATCTTTACATAGATTAAAAGAAGAAATTCATTGTATGAATGTATTATAATAAAATATTTTTCTTAACAAATCTAGATTATTTAGCTATTACATAAATGATAAGAATGACAAAAGATAAAAAAATCTCTAAACTGTGAATCGAATTTTTATTAACTTACCACCCGTTATGAGTTTAACATTGTCAGAATCGATGTCATATGTATAACCAGTGAGATAAAATATTAAACTATTATTCTTTTCTATGTAAGGTAGCAATACACTAGCGTTTTTAACATTTGTATCAATATAAGAGCCATTTCTAAAAAATTATTCAATTATGAATTTTAAACGTGTAAATAAATTAGTGATATAAATTTTTTTTATTTTGCATAACAGCTATTATACCTATTATATAAACGGAAGAAAGAAGAGTCAATTAAATTACAATCAGAAGCAGCATCTGTGAACAAAGTTGATACCAAAATTATTATTAACTTATTATATTTACGTGCCTTGAACTTGTTAAAAAAAAAGAAAAACTTAAAATAAAATATCATATTTATATCATTCTAACAAATAAAGTTATATACGTTAAAATAATTTTTTTAATTTAAATTAATATTTTCCTACTTACTTTGTATGCATTTACATCATTTTTCTTAACATGTGTATATTTTTTTTTTATTTTTAGAAATAATAAAAATATACCATATACGTGTAATTTATTGCAGAACATTTTCTAAAATGGATTTTGACTATTTTAAAAAATTTTATACACATATGATAATAAGAAACTTTAAATGACCATCATCAAGAAATGAAAGTGAAGTAGGGATATATTTTGAAAAAAAATGTTTTAGAAAAATTTTTTACGATAATATACAATGTAAACTATTAAAACAAGATCGAATCTAATTTTTTTTTAATATCTTTTAAAATTTCTTAAATGTTAAAAAAAAAACATAAAAATGTTTTGAAAGATTTTTATTTTCATTATAAATGATTTTTATTTTCATTATAAATCATTATATATTTCTCAAAACAAAAAATAATTTTATTATTAATATCATTTGAATTAAATTTTTGCAAACTTCTTTTCTTTCTGTATTTTCGAGTTGCTAAATTTTTTTGTAGTTATTAAAATGTAATAAAAAATAATTAATAATAATATTGCAATGAAATTTATATTCGCTCAGCATTTTTATCATATTTATTATATATAGAAAGTACAAAAGAAATCAAAGACTCACCTGTCAAAAACAAAAAATTGAGAAATGCAACGAAAAGACAGAAACGATTCTTAATCATATTGAAAAATGAATCAAATTTTCAATCAATTATACAATCTGTAAATTCTTATCCAATCTTCTAAATCCTTATACTTTTTTAATTAATTTAATAATCATTTTATATATATATATATAGTGATAATATTTCAAATATTTACATACTTAACAGATGTAGATAACATTAAAAAATTAAAGAAGATTAAATTATATTGATTTACATAAATTTAAAATTACAATACAATGCTAATATTAAATATATTAATATTAATGATATAGATAAAAAAATTAGAAATGAATTATATTAAACATTTAATATGTATTTATTAGAAAATAATTCATTTAAAATAAAAATGTTTTTATATATTATTCTGATTTTGTGGTTCAATTTTATCTAAAAGTATTAAGTTTATCTTAGTACAAGTTTTTCTTATATTTAAAATATTTAATTACATATAATTTAAATATTTAATTACATATAATTAAAATATTTAAATACATAACAAATAAAATATATTATAATTATATACTATAAGAATTGATTTCATATCAGATTAACATAAAAACATAATAATAACGATTTTGATTCCAATCGAGCAATTAAATTTTTAATTAAATAATTTATAAATATATAAATAAATATTGAAATATTTAATAATAAGAAAAAAAATTTAATACTTAATATTTTTAGAAATTTCATTTTTAATAATAATATTATTTTTTTTTATTCTATTGTTTCTAGGATGCTTTAAGTGTCGCTAAAGATGTATGTAATGGAACGAATTTTCTATTGCTATTATTTATTATATTTTTATATGATTATGTATTAATCATTCATCTTTTTTCCACTTCATCATTATTATATTACTTTATTATCTTTTCATTTTTAATTGCATTATATTAATGCATTATATACAAAATGATAATATATTCGAGAGAATCTTTTATTTTTTTACAAACGAAAACAAATAAAAAAATTAAATTTATTTATTACTATTATTTATTAATACAAATTTTAATTATTTTATTATTAATCGATATTATTATCGTTTATATACTAACTTTTCCATTTAGTTTGATTTATAGAATCGATTTTTTTTATATGCTATGAATATATTAACACTTTGTATTAATATCCATTCGATTTAAAAAGCATTTCAAATCTAGTATTATTTCTGAATCATTCTTTATTTATATGGCATAAAGTATTTCAGAGAAATTTCATTTAATAAAAATTGAAAATATATTTTTTTGTGGAAAAGAAAAAATTATCTTAATATTTTTATTCTATTTACAGAAACATTTTGAACATTTCCATATTCATTGTTACAATTTCGTTAAGATTTAATGAAATCGCTTTAATACTACAGATTCTATAAAATTATAAAAAAAATTATATATTTTTTTTAACATATGATAAAATTTAGTTTTTTTAAAATTTTAAAATTTTAATTGTTTAATTTTTGGAAACGAGTAAAATTTTTTAATAAATCTTATTACAATGAAACTATTATTACAATAAGAAAGAATTGGAAGGAAATTTATTTCATATTTATTTTTTCAATAGAAATAAAATAATAATCATTTATTTTATATATTAAATATATGAAAAATTATATAATTCTTATATAATTTCTTATGCAATTCATATATCATTCACAACATTAAATGTAATTAAGTTGGTATAGGTGTAATTAGAAGTGGATTAAAAGTTGCTCCTGCAAATCCTCGGCCATAAGGACTTTTTGAGTTTGTTTCGAGATAATAGTTACCCGTTCTAAAAATGTTAAAGTGATTATTAAAATAAACAATAGACAAAAATTATTTATATAAAAAAGAAACAAAAACAAAAAAAGAAGAAGTTTAGAATTTTTTGTAAAAAATAATTTTATAGAAATGTTCTATTATTATTTTTTTTGCATTGAAAAAGAATAACGGAAATTCTTATGTTAAAATGATATAAATAATTTGAAGCGATATACATTAAAAAATAACTAAAACTTATACTAACGCATTGCTTGGTGTCGCATATCCCATTGGAATGTATTCAGCGCCGCTGCACTTATTTAATGAATAACATTTTCCAATGAAAGCTCCATGGTTTCTAATCGATTCCGCGTAAAATTCGTAAGCTCTACTGTGACTGCAAGAACTTGTAAGTTCTATAAAACAATAAATATTCATTAACATAGAAAATAAAAGGAAGGATAAAGAAAGAAGAAACGCGTATCATTGACTTTCCTTTCGTTTTATCTATAATGTATAAATTATTACTTAGAATTTGATCAAAACTAATTTTATGGAAAAGTTCAAATAATTTGTAAATTAATATCATACCTGTCGATATTTATTAGTATTAATTATAAATATAATAAATTAATATTTATTAGTATTATTAGTTAAATAATTATGAATCATGAATCATGATTAAATTTATAAGAATGAAGAAATCGCTGTGATCGATCGATTCATTAATACTTACTATTGCCATTAGATGGCTTTAAATGCCATGTGATTCTCGTTAGTATTATTTGTCAAGTATACTTACTTACATATGATTCTTACATAAGATTCAATGAAATAAATGATAAGAATTAATACCGACTGATACTGAATTAATCGATTGAGATTTAGTTGGTAATAATGGATAGTAATCAACAATGATTATATCCTTAAGCATGGTGTTATATAAAAAAATAATAATTATATAAATGATTTTTTATTTTTAATTTTTTTATAAATCTTTTACTATTAGCAATTATAATATATTCGACTAAGAAAAGATGGACAGAATTTGGTAATATTTAAAACTTTCGAAAATTTGGATATATTGATCATAGCGCATAATATATTCGAATCAAATCGTGAAATCGGGTTTAGATAAGTTGATTTTTAAAAAAAAATACTTTTCTTTATATTTTTCAATGTTTTTTAGTTTTTAGAATAGATTGTTGGTTTTAAATTATAATTTATATGTTTAAATAAATTTATATCAGATAATTTAAAGTAAAATGAAATTATGGCATATTCTATCAATTAAAATTATGATTCATTTCACTATGATTCTCTATATGTTTTAAAAAATGATTTAAATAATGATATTTTATCATGAGAAATGAAATTTGCGATTTGAACCAATTTATGATAAGACTAACCTATTGAACAACCTGCTTGCGGTCTGCGACCATAATTCGGAAAAAAATTGACAGTACCAATTCTTAAAGCCAATCCCGCCAATCCCATATCAGTATGAATAACATCTACGAAATCAGCGTCGGAAATGCTCAAATGATTATTCAGAAAATAGTACAAAGGACCAGCAGGATCCAAACCTAAAAGAAACTTCGCTTGTATTTAAGTATTGAAAATTATTACAAATTAATTAAAAATAATTAAAAATAAATCTTAAAAATTACAAATCATCGAATATTTTTTTGACGAATAGATTCTTTATTCGTCAAGAAAAAAATTATTTTTTTTTCAAAAGCTCTCTTAAAAAAAAACATTTTTGAACATATTATAATTTTAATTCTTTTTTTTGTTTTATTATAACTTTAATTTAAAATTATTTAAGGCATACAAAAAAATGAAATATTTATAAATAACACCTGTTATTCTGCCAATTTTGACTTTCATTTGACGTCCTATGCTACCTGCAAGCTCAGCTCCCAATGAATGCCCAATTATATGTATCTTTTTCGGATTTACACCATTTTCTACCATATCATCCAAAGCGTTAGCAACAAATTTTCCGACAGTAGATATATCTGCCACGGCAAATGGATAAAACTGAGTAGTAATATTCCGATAATCAAGTCCAAAAACATTATCCTGTGTCGTATCTAAATATGCTATAATTAGAAAATAATTTGAATTAATTATCGCATAATATATTATTATAATATATAATTATAATATATATTTTATTTTAAATTTGAATTTTAAATACCATCAAGTTTATTTAATCGAAAAATGAAAAATAATTTTTTTTTAAATATATTTAATTTTACAAATATCGCGAAAAAAAATCTAAAAACAAACTGATAAGATAATATTAAATGATTAATTTATCATAAATGGAATTAAATTATTCATTCATTCGTAATTTACCATTTGATATTAATCTGTCACTTAAAGAATTTATGTCATTAGTGAGACCATTAATAAAAATCATTAGAAAGTTATTCTTTTGTATATAAGGAAGAAATATATTGGCGTTTCTTATATTTTCATCAAGATATGAGCCATTCCTAGAAAAAGATAATTATTTAATTACAAGTTTGAAATATGGAAATAAATTGTAATAGAAATGATACGAATTAGTGATTGTGTTTCATATTTAAACATACCTGTTATATAAACGTAGAAAAACATTTTGCGTCATATCGGCAGTAGCTATGAATAAATTTGTTTCCAAAATTATTAACAAATCGTTATATATTAGATACATTTAAAATTTATATTATCTACATTTAACATTCATATTTAACATCATAACAAAATGAGGTGATTTTATCTTTACTATATTTACATTTTTATTTCTCTTCATCTAGTAATTAGTTCAAAGTTAAATTTCTCAAAACATGAAAAATGTTTCAACGAATATTTTTGTATATAAGTTCTTTTTTTATCTTTAAAGTTATTCCTTAAATATTCTTCTTATTTTGTATGAATATCATATATAAAAGTAATGATTCTCACTTACCTGTCAACAAGAAGTTGAAAAACGCAAAGAAAAAATAAAAATAAATGTTGAGCATGTTGAAAGAAGTTCTCTGTTCGTGCAAACTGTAAATTTAAATCTTTAGAAACAGATCGAATATATTTATTTAACTCCGTTTTGATAATTTTATTATTTCAAGTTTTATTTATATTTATATATGCAGAATACATATACATTTAAAAATAAAATTTTCAATTCTCGAAAAAAACAATTTAACTTATATGATTTTAAAATTATCCTAATATTAAATATATTAATTTTATTAATAATATTTAATGTTCAACACATATATTAATATAAATATATGTAATACATGTATATAAATATGTAATATAATTTACGTAAAATATAATTTGTAAATATGTTTTAGAATTGTTGCTTACCAGAAAGTAAATTCTCAGTTTTCAAATTTAAATAATACTCATACATTCTGTTTATATAGTTTAATATTATCTAAGTCAATTAGTATAAATTATTTTTGTCATTTAAATCCATTAAATGATAATATTTGGAAAACAATATACGTATTTGCATAAAGTATTGAATATCCATTATAAATAACCTCCATTGTGGTAACTATAGTTTAGATATTATAACAATAAATATAAAATAACCTTCATTATGACAACTAGTTTAAATAATATAACAATAAATGAAAATGTAAAAGAAAATAATTATATCTTAGTTATATATAATTATAATATATATTCTAATATATTTCATTCTAATAATAATATTTAAATGCTGATATATAGTCAATAAAAAATATTGCAAATAATTTAAAATTAAAATTATCTTTTCGAAATTTGAATAAAAAACTAATTATAAAAATAAAGCAATATAATAAAGTAAGTAAATGGGAGAGGAACAATTAAATTAAAATTAAATGATAACATTTTAGAAAAATGTCAATTATTTTATAATATTTTATCCATAATGGAATAGAATGGAATATCAATTTTTAATGACTTCTACATAGATAAAATCAGATTAATATATTATAAAAATATTTTTTTATCTTTTTAACAAAGTTGAATACAAAGTTAATGTATATATAATAGATGATATTTTTAAAAAATAATGATATAGTTGAAATATACTATATTAATGATTTTCAATCATTATCTCATTATTTAATTTAATTTAATTTAAATATGAAATAGTAAGCTTGTGATTAGTTTAAATTAAAAACAAAATTAAACTAAAAACAAAAAAAAATTCCATCAGTTGATTAAAATATATTAAAATAAAATTAAATAAAATTAAGTTTGCGTTAGATGAAATGAGAGATAGTATAATAGAATAAACATCTATGTTTTCTATTTTCTTATTCCATTCTTATCTACTTCATCTAACGAAAACTTAAATTATTTATAATTTAATAAATAAGTCTCAATTAAAATTTTTATATACTAAATTTTGTGCTTATTTTGACCTATGAATTTGATTCTAGAGAATAAATTCACGATTATATCAACACCTTGTATATGAGAAGAGAAGAGATTTATGAAAAATAAAGACAAATAAGTAAAATGAATATAATCAATTTATAATACAGGGACAATTTTCAGTGGATTAAAAACTGTTCCTGTATTTCCTTGACCAAAAGGACTCTTTGAATTCGTGACAAGGTAATAGTTACCATTCCTAGAAGCATGAAAATAATCTATTGTAGATCAAAAGAATATTAACATAAATAATAAAAAAACTAATTTGAAAATGCTTTCTCTTTCATGCTATTCATTTGATGTTAAATAGAAAAAATTAAAATTTTTATATTGAAATCAAAAATTAACAAAAATTATACTAACGCATTATTGGGTGTAGCATATCCCATTGGAATATATTCAATGTTGCATTCATTTAACCAATAAAATTCACATTTTCCAATGAATGCAGTAGAGTTTTTAATTGATTCTATATAGAACTCGATAGATCTAGCGTGACTGCAAAATCGTGTAATATCTGTAAACAAAAAAGTAACGAATATTATTCGATTTTGAGGAAGAAAATGGAAAAGAAAAAATATATCTTCATTTGAAAATATTATACACATATTAATATCTTATTCTATTTAAATGAAAATGTTTCTTAAAATGATAGAAAAACTTTTATAATAATTGATATATATATATATTCAGATATATAAATATAAGAAATAAATAATAATAATAAATATCTTCATTATTTATTAAATTATCAAAAACTTATCACAAACCATTCTCTGATATCGGGCAACCTGGTTGCGGTCTATAACCATAATTAGGAAAAAAATCCACATGACCAATTTTCAAAGCTAGACCATAGACACCCATATCAGTGTGAATAACGTCTACGAATTCGGCATCGGAAGCACTCAAATGAGTATTGAGTACGTAATATCCAGGACCGACAGGATCCAAGCCTAAATAAAATAAAAAAATTTTCATTTACATTTAAATAATATGATGAATATAGAGCAGTTTCTTTTTTATTTTTGTATTCATCTAATATAAATTTCTTATAATTTATTAAATAAACATACCGATTATTGTAATATATTTGAAATAAAAATTTTGAAAGTACATTGAAAACATATTCTATTGAGAAATATGTTGAAAAATAATTTTTTTAACTTTAAATGTAAAAGTCAACTTGCGAAAAATAATTTTTGAAAGCAATTTGCGAGAATTTTATTTTCCAATATATTCGCATTTTAAATCTCTGATATTTTTGTATACTATTTTTGTAATTGTTTCAATCTGAAGAATCGATATTTTATGTTATGCGTTTATGTGTGTTAATTTATATTTTATATAAAGTTTTGATTAAAATCAAAACTTAAATTGTGACAATGCCTTTTCACTTTTTTCAAAGATTGAAAATATTTGAAAAAATAAGTAATTTAAAGGTAATACCTGTTATTCTGCCAATTTTATAGTTCATATTGCGTCCAATAATCCCCGCAAGCTCAGCTCCCAATGAGATTCCAATTAAATGTATTTTTTTAAAGTTCACGCCATTATCTATCATATCGTCCAAAGCGTCAGCCATAAATTTGCCAACTTTATATATATCTTGTTTGGCAAATGGATAAGATTCCTTACTAACATTTCGATAATCAATTCCAAAAATATTGTGTTGCGTATTCTCCAGATATGCTGTAATATTTTAAAGAGAATTTCATTAATTATATTTAAATAAAACATTGTATAATTGTAATTATATATATATAATGCAATATATATAGAATATATATACAAATGTATATAAATAATATTTAATATGAGCAGTTGAATTATTAATCGAATTGATAACTTACCACTCGTCAATAGTCTTATATCATAAGAATTTATATCTTCAGTGAAACCATGAATAAGAATTATAAGCAATTTATTCTTTTGTATATAAGGAAGAAATAGATTAGCATTTCTTACATTTTCATCAATATATGAATCATTCCTAAAAAAGAATAATTTAATTATGAATTTCAAATGTTCAAAAAAGTTAAAATGATTATATACAATTAGGAATTAGTTAATTGTGTCTTATCCTTAAACATACCTGTTATATAAACGTAAAAAAACATTTTGTGTAATATCAGCAACTATGAACAAAATTAGTTTCAAAATTATTAACAAATCGTTGTACATACATTTGAAATTTATATTTAATATCAATAAATATTGATAAAATAAGATGATTCGTTTTCTTTTCGTTTTTATTTGATTAGTGAAAAATTAAAATCATTAAAACATGAAAAATATACTTACATAAATATTTCTGCATATAAATTTTTTTGTCTTAATCTCTAAAGTCTTTCTAAAGTCATTCGTTAAATTTTCTTAAATTTACATCATATGAACATTTTATATAAAAATAAAAAAATAGTCAAATACTTACCTGTTAACAAGAAGTTGAAAAATGCGAAGAAAAAATAGAAATAAATATTGATCATATTGAAAGGTAAACTAAATTCTTTGTCTTGATATAAACTGTAAATTAATTTATTTAAATAAGTTTACAATCTCAATATTTCAAGTATTTATACATATATAATAATATATATACATATATATTTAAAAATGAAATGTGAAATTCTTAATTCTTGAAAAAAACAATTTAATCCAATTGAATTTACATGATTTTAAAATTACTGATTTTACTAATATTAAATATATTGATAATATAATATTCAAATATATAATATTTATAAATATAATTTCTAATTGTGCTTATAAATTAAAAAAAATCACTTACCAAGAATCGAATGATCGAATTTTGTAACAATATAAGTTTCAAAATTTAAATATTACTCGTCACTCGTATTTATATAGTTTGATATTATCTAAGTTATTTTTATGTTAATAAGTTTTTATGTTATAAATTATAATTTAGATGATATTTATAATTTAAATGATAATATTCAAAAAACCTGTAATTATTCGAAAAACTGTATTATATATACATTTATTATATATATCATATAGATCACTATAAATGATTTCCATTAAAACAACTTAATCAACAGATAATATAGCAACAATACACCAATGTTATAAAATAAAAGAAAATAATTATGTGAAGATTTATGAAAAATAAATAACAAATGATTATTTCACAATTATTCATTTTTCTTTTCAATATTAAAATAAAATATTAATTAAAATAATCATTTATTTTGCATGAATATTGAGATACAGAATTATAAATACTTGAAATTAAAGAATTTTTAATTAAATTATAATAAATATAGTCAATTTATAATACAGGAACAATTCTTAGTGGATTAAAAGTTGCTCCTGTTAAGCCTCGGCCGAAAAGTGTCTTTGAATTCGTTATGAGATAATAATTACCAGTCCTACAAAGAAAAAATAATTTACTATAAAAGAATGTTAACACAAATAATAAAAAAAAGTAATTTAAAGATGTTCTTTCTTTTATGTTATTTATTTTATGTTAAATAACAAAAATTAGAACGTTCATGTTGAAAAATTAATTAAAAATTAATAAAAATTATACAAACGCATTGCTCGGTGTAGCATATCCCATTGGAATATATTCAACGCCATCACATTCATTTAATGAATGACACTTTCCAATGAAGATATTATGGTTTTTAACTGATTCCGCATAAAATTTATAAGATCTGTGATGACTGCAAAAATCTATAAAGAAATAAATATTCATTTATGGAAAAAAATAAAAAGAAACAATAAAAAAAATTTATTTAGAGATATTATGTAGATATTATATTTTACTCTATTTTGACTCCATAAATGATAGAAAATATTTTTTAAAATGATAAAAAAATTTTCATAATAATTAACATATACATACATACATACTCAGATATATGAAAAATAAATATAAGAAATTTAAATATCTTTGTTATTTATCATATTATTTAAAAAATTATCAGAATGTAAAGTTATTTAAAAAAATTTAATAACAAAAATTGTCAAAATTATTATATTTTTAATTCAGACTTTAATATCATCGGTATTTTTAAATGGTATCATATACTTTTCATTATATTAAATTTTAACTAATTAACTTATTATTCAATGATTGTAATGATTGTTCCAATTTAGAAAATGGTTACTAAATATTTACTCTTCATATATAAATGATCTCATCAGTATCATTCAAAAAATAAAAAATTTAAAAATGATATACTTTATACAAACCATCATTTGATAGCAGGCAACCTGGTTGTGATCTATGACCATAATTAGGAAAAAAATCCACATGACCAATTTTCAGAGCTAGACCATAGATACCCATATCAGTGTGAATAACGTCTACGAATTCGGCATCAGAAGCACTTAAATGAGAATTGAATATGTAATATCCAGGACCAGCAGGATCCAAACCTAAATAAAATAAAAAAAGTTTCATTTACATTTAAATAATGTGATGAATATAGAGCAGTTTCATTTTATTTTCGTATTCATCTAATATAAATTTCTTATAATTTATTAAATAAACATACCGATTATCGTAATATATTTGAAATAAAAATTTTGAAAGTACATTGAAAACATATTCTATTGAGAAATGTGTTGAAAAATAATTTTTTTAACTTTAAATGTAAAAGTCAACTTACGAAAAATAATTTTTGAAAGCAATTTGCGAGAATTTTATTTTCCAATATATTCGCATTTTAAATCTCTGATATTTTTGTATACTATTTTTGTAATTGTTTCAATCTGAAGAATCGATATTTTATGTTATCCGTTTATGTATGTCAATTCATATTTTATATAAAGTTTCGATTAAGATCAAAACTTAAATTGTGACAAATTGTGCCTTTTCATTCTTTTCAAAAATTGAAAATATTTGGAAAAATAAATAATTTAAAGGTAATACCTGTTATTCTGCCAATTTTATAATTCATATTGCGCCCTATAATCCCCGAAAGCTGAGATCCCAATGAGTGTCCAATTATATGTATATTTTTTGAGTTTATGCCATTTTCTATCATATTATCCAAAGCGGCAGCTACAGATTTTCCAACTTCATATAAGTGTTGTACGGCAAATATATAAAATTCTTTACTAACATTTCGATAATCGAGTGCAAGAACATTGTCTTGTGTATTTTCCAAATATGCTGTAATATTAAAGGGAATTTAATTAGTTGTATTTAGATAAAATAATGTATAATTATGATTATATATGTATAATATAATATCTATAGAATATTAGTGTCATATCTTCAAAGAATTGATTTCAATGTAAAAAAAATATAAAAATTAATATAATAATAATAAAAATATTATTATGAATCTGAAAAGATTCTGCATCATTTATATACATTAAATAATTCTTAATATTAGCATCTGAATTGTTAATTGAGAATCATAACTTACCACTCGTTATTAATTGCACATCTTCAAAATTAATGTCTTCATTCCAACCACTAATGAAGATTACTATTTTGTTATTTTTTTCTATATGAGATATCAATAGATTAGCATTTCTTATATTTTCATCAATATATAAGCCATTCCTAAAAAAAATCACCATTTGATTGCGAATTTCAAATTTGCAAATAAGTCACAATAGAAATGATTACAATATAGATGTGCAACTCGTGATTAATTAATTATATTTCACAAGTACAAATAATTAAGTACCTTTTATATAAACGTAGAAAAATATTTTCAGTTAAATCTGAAGCAAAAACTGTGAACAAAGTTAATTCCAAAATTATTAATAATTCGTTGTACATTATATAATACTTGTTTTTATTTTTTTAAAAAATTAATATTTTAGAATAAAATAATAAAATGATTGATGCAATATCTTTAACATAACTCCGTATTAAAAATAATTACATCTTGTATATAAGTGCTGTTTATATTTATAAAATTATGTGATATATATATTATATGATATTATGGAATACACTTATTATAATAAAAGTTAAAATTAGTCCTGACTAAACACACATTATATTTTGTTTTTAAATAAAAATGTATGTTTTTATTTATATTAAAGTCAATTTATATTAAAGTCACAAGACATCTTTTTACTCAAAAAAAAAAAAAAAAAAATATATCATAAGACACAACAAAATTCATACAAATATGAAAATATATTTTAATAATGATATTTTATGTAATATATATCATCCATGTATCCTTTTTTCCTATATCTTTCAATTCAATACAATTTCATAAATATTCTCGAGAATATTAAAAGTAATAGATGATTTCATTTTTTTTTTTTTCGAAATCGTTTTAAGTTTATTATTAATATCATTTAAATTATTTTTATAATTTTTCAAATTTTTATGAATTTTTAAATTGTCAAATTTTTCTTTAAATTTCTATAGTAATAAATTCATTATTATATGTAATAAGATTTTTTATTTTTCTCTTAAATTTGTTTTTAAATACATATACAAAAATAAAATGTTTGAATAACTTACCTGTCCACGAAAAATAGAGACATGCAATGAAAATACAGAAATAATTCTTTATCATATTGAAGAAAGAATCAAATTTCTTGATCGCCTATACAAACTATAAAATAATTTAATTAAATTCCCAATCATTTTAGTTTTATTATTTTTTTAATATTTTAAGTATTAACAAATAAATATATCATTTAAAAACCAAATAAAATATTCATAACTGTTCAAAAAAATTTCAACAAAATATTTATATTATTTATAAAATAATCCAATAAAATTTATATGTTTTTAAAAATATATCATATTAATAATAACATATATGTATACCAGATGTATATATAAATTGTGTTAATAACATGATTTAATATTTAATATTAAAAACATACTTTAACGAATATTAGGAATAATTTGCTATTATATTTAAACAGTTAAATTATATTGACTTACCAAAGAGTGATCGATTTTAAAGACTTCACATTTTTAAATATTTTTCTTATATAGTATATAGATGTTATATAAAACTACCTTTATTGTATTTAAAATTTTTTTTAATGTTTAGAAGTTTAATTACTCTTTGTGAAAGATATTGTAATTATTTCCATTAAATTTAAACAATAATCGTTTGCACATTCGTTTATTGTCCATCAGATGTTCACATAATTGATAATTTAACCAGCAAATGTAGAAGCATATTAGAATGAATATTAGGAAACATTTCGTTTTTAGTAATTATAATTTAACAAAATTTAATAGTGTAAAATATAAATATTTTTAAAATCATACAATTCTTTCAATATCAAATATATAAATTATATTATATTAATAATTTTATATTATATTATTAATATATTATATTAATTATATTAATAATATATAATATTCATATTTTAAGATATATATATAATACTTAGATATATAATTTAAGAAAGTATAAATTTAATTTGTAATTATGATTGAATATAATTTATAATTAAGATGGTTATTTACTATTCGAATATCTTAATGGAACTTAAATTTTATTATGCATTCTTGAAATTTTTCCATTTATATAGTATGATATTATCTGAACTGAATAACTTTATCTCAATTAGTTTTACTTTTTTTAAACGAAACATTAAATGATGCACATTAATTAATAAAATTTAGAGAATATTATGCTTTATATTTTACTTTTTAATAACAATGGAATGTAAATTTTAAATGACTTCTATAATTATTCAGTTAATTAAGTCAAAAGATAATGTAATGATGAATGAAAATAATAAAATGAAAAAAAAATAAACTTAAGCATTAGACATTTCATTGCTATTTATAACAAATATTTTATTTTTCATATTAATATTAATCGATTAATATTAATCGATTAAGTTTCATTAATATTAAATTAATCTGTTAAAATAATCATATCCTATTGAATATTAGTGAAGCTTCTTTAACAATTTTTTGTTTAAATGTATTGGATAAGCAAAATAATAGAAACTTTATAGAAATTTAAGATTGTTTTTGAAAATATTAACAAACATTACATACAAGCAGATCTTAAATAATATAATATAGATATATTAATTACAATAAAAGTTTATTATTAATTTATTTATTATATTATAATTAATAATATTAGTTAATTTTTAGTGATAGAACTATAACAGTAAAATTAAAATATATTTTTGAATACTCACATATTTTTCTTTATTAAATTAATAGAATAGTATTATTATTATTATTATTATATATAGTAAAAGTTGTTCATTTGCGATTTAAATATTTTTTATAAATAGGGATTGTTGAATGTAATTCCAGCATTGAATACAATTCTAGCATTGAATACAGATCACTTCTAGTCTGCTATATCAGATATTGTAAAATACATATTATTATGAAATGAATTATATAAAGTTATTAAACGATATTGTATTGAAAACAAGAAAATAATAATTTTTAGTTTTGATAAAATAATAAACATATAAATGTAATAATGACAATAATAAAACAGAAACTTTCATTTTATACTAAAGGAGTTGTAGTTCTGTAGCTCTTATGAATTCTTATGTCAGCTGTTAATTTTAAATCGTTTATTTATAATTAGTTTTGTGCAATTGGCTAATTACTTTAAATTTAATTTACTTGTACATTTGACGTTATCTTCTATTCATTATGCAGTAAACATGAGATGTTTTCTATGTACATATATATACAAGTAAATTAAGTTTAATAAAATAATTAGCCAACTACGTAATATAATGTAATTTTAATAGTTTTTTTTAATAATAAATTTAATTATTAATTACAGATTTTATTTACGTAATATGAAGAAATAAAAGTAATTATTAGCAAAGAGTTACAGAGTTAATAGTATAATAAATAATAATAATAATAATAATAATAATAATTTTTAAAATATATTATCACGAAGAAAATTTTAAACAATTTTTCTCTATAAATGTAATTATTGTCCCTCTTTAATTTTTTTAATTTCTATTCCACTAACAAAAATATCTTTTAAAATTATATATAATTATACGATTTAAAAAAATTCAACTCCAATGATTTAATATTATTTTCTTAAAATAACATTTCTATAAAAAAAAATTATATTCATACATTCATACATTTACATATTTATTTTTAATAATAATATTAGATTAAATCATTAATTCATATTTATAAGAATATTAAATAACAATTTTATATAGAATTTATCTAATCAATTATATATATCATTTTATCAAAACTAAAGTAAATAGATGTATAAAAGAGATGTAATTTAATTATTAATTATAAAACTTCCATTAATATCAGATTTTTGTTTTTTTTTAAAATAAAGAAACTGATTTAAAAAAGAGATGTAAAAAATGATAATCCTCTCATAATATTAATATTTTAAAATATTATTATTGAATATCAATAATAAAAAGCAAAAATTTATATCAACGAAAAAAAATCTAGCGTAAATACATTTTTTTAATTTAAAAATTTCTAATATTTGATTTCTTATATTTTTTTTTTTTTTTTTTTTTTTTGTAATTTCATAATATATAGTAATTCAATAATGTCATAAATAAGAAATCATAATAAATTCTAATGATGAAAAATAAAAATGATGAAAGATTTTCTAAAACTTGAAAATTGATTATTAAATCGAAAATTAAATTATTTTTATTAAATTAAATTTTTAACATGAAATTTGTTACGTAAAATTACCGAAATTTATCGAATCAAATAAGATTCTTTAAACATTCGAAACAACAAATAAATGTATGAATATTTTCATATTGTATACATTGTATTACATTATATAAAAAAATGTGAATTAAATTTCTTTTTTTTAAATGCAATATATACTTGTTAATATATAATTATTAATATTTAATGTTAAATTTTAATAGGTTTAAATTCTAATAAATACATGGAATAAAAAAAAATTAATAATAGAAATACATCACAAATAAATAAATCGAAACTTTAACAAGGAAATAAAAAATCGTAAGTGAAACTTAAACCATTTTTATTATATTTATTTTTGATATTACATAACACATTTTTGATAATGAGTACAATTTCAAATAATTTCATATTTATTATTTTTCATTTATATTAACATACATTTAGAATATATTAATAATTACATTTAATTATATTTAGAACAATAAATAACAAATGAATAAAAAAGACAAATAAAATAATTTCTTTTCTATTTATTTTATTTTGTTTTAACTATCATTACTAGTACTTAATAATTGTATCTATTAACAATACATGTTATGTAAAATATGTTTATACTAAAAAATATTGTATGCAATTTTCAATTTTTTAAATTTATTAAAATTGTACAATATACAAATGAATGATTTTATTTTTGAATTATTAAAATTAAATTAAATTAAATTGAATAAATATATAATAACAATATATTTTATATTTAATTACTTTAAAAGTTATTAATTTTAGTAATTAAATTATATATGAAATATTTTTTAAATATTACATAATAATTTAAAATAATAGAAAATTAAAAATAAAAAAATTAAAACATAAGTAAAATTGCGAATAAATCCAGCAAAATAATTTTTTTTCACTTAGATAAATAAGATAAATATATAACATAATATTATAATATTATTATTTGCACAAAATCGATTTTAATGTTTGTAAAATTTCAAAATTTCGATATGCTATCAAACCATTGCTATTCGAAAAATTGGTGGATGTAGATAAATATTTTATATCTATATAATCAGAATCGGAATTATTTATAAAACTTTGGAATTCAATAATACCTCCATGTAAAGAACGCAAAAGAGCTTGTGGACCACAAGTATCCCATTTATATGTGGAACTTTTAGATAAAATATAAGCATCAACTTGTCCAAGAGCAACGCTTAATATTTTATAACCTGCGCCAGCTGCTTCTACTAAAATAAAACCCGCATCTAAAAGTTTTGATTTTATATTTTCATCTTCAACTCTACTCAGAATAATTATCTTTTTATTATTATGTTCTTTCACTATAGAACATTTTCCAATATCATTTTCTATAAATCCCCAGTAGCAATTACCTTTCCATCTATTAAATAAAATGTTTAGTTAAATATTGATGTTTTTATAAATATATAAATTGTTAATATATTCGTGAGATAATCAGAGAATCGATTCCAGAAGCCAAATCAAATATAAAAGATCAAATTTCATTGTCTTCATCTTACTTTATACTTAAATAATAAAAAAAAACTTAAATTCCTTAATTTAATTTAACCTATAATAAGCCTCAATTGATTTTTGTATATTAATTTATTTATTTTGGCCTTGATATTCTATGTTTCACGAATATACAAAATATTAATATAATCAAACAGGAAATGATTCTATGTGAAAAAATAAATCGGAAATATAAAATAAAATTTTTGAATCAATTCCAAATTCATTTTGAGATTTTGTTTTTGAATACACAAACAACAACAATAAGCAAATTCAAAAAATTTTCAAATACAGCTAAAGTACAACTATTTTCCAATTAGATATGAATTATAGTGTCGATAACTCATTATTTTACATATGAAAATAAGTAAAAAATAAAAAAACAAAGAATTAGAAAAAATAAATTTTTTTTATTTAAAAATTAATTTTCGAAAAAACTGAATTTGGATATTCATTGATTACATAATTCCTTAACAATATTTAATCTTGATTTTAAAATAACTTAAACAATAAAATTTTATTCTATTTTATTTTTTACTTATTTTCATATATAGATTAACTATTTGATAGTTCATTCATATCTAATCAAAAAATAGTCAATTTTATTTGAAAAATTTTTAAATTTGTTTTATTCAAAAATCAAATCTCGAATAAAAAAATTTTATTTTACATTTTCGATATTTTTTCGATATTTTTAATTTTCCGTTCGATTATATCATCAATTATAAGATTCTATATTAATATCCTATTAATTTTGCTTATTTACCGTAAATCTACATTCGTATAGAAAGGTTGATTAATTACTCCCAAAATTGGTATGCCTGTACTTTTCATATATACTCCAATTAAGACAGTAACACACCGTAAACCACTCATATGTACACCAGTGGTATGATCGACTTTTTCACCTCCATTTATGTAATCTGCAGTTGAATCTACAAAAGTTCCACGAATTGCTCCTCAGGCATGTGTTATTAAACTACAAAACAAATAGAAGACTTAACAAATAACCTGTCTAATTTTATCTAATAACATAAAAGAATATCATTTAAAAAGAAAAATATAAAAATAAAAATAAAAGATAAATAAAACAAAAAAGAGAAACAGAAATTAAATAAAAAAAAGTTGTTGTTATTGATATTATTTATTTAAAATTTGAAATAGTAAAAAATAAATTATGTATGAAAATAGAAATATTTACCATATAATTTTTCCAGACATCGTTTTAATACACATAGTAATATATTAATATTATATTGTATCTACATGTATATATATTATAATAAATTGTTATTTAAGAACATTCAAATTATAGTATTACATTTCTTACCAATTGGATCTATCCATATCCCAAGATCATTAATATCAGCATCAAAATCAACAGGTAGTTTTGCTACTATTGGAATGTCTAAGAATTGAATATCTTTATGGACTTCAGTAGCTAATAATTCAGCAGTTGCAATATCACTACCCATTACTTTGGCTAATAATTGAGTAGTTTCTTCACTAGTAGAACATATTCCAACTACTATAGATTCACCCATAGCATTACTGAATGTATTAGTTTCTTCTCCTTGTACTACTTTAGCTAATTCTGGAAACTAATATTCTATAAGTGGTATTATATTTAATTTATATTTTTTATTTATATTTCTTATATTAACTTTAATTTTATATTTATCTCTTCTTTTTTTTCTTTTTTGATATAAAAAATGAAAATTAATACATGAAAATATTCAATAAAATTTTTAATTATTATTTAATTATTTATTTATTTTCATTAATCTATTATTGACAAATGAATTTTTTTATTCAAATACATTAATTATATAATATTTTTTATTAACTTACCTCTAATCCTATGTCATGTTTAATTGTTTCTTGAATAAGAACATCTGCCAAAGTTTTAAAATCTTGAAAGAAACGTGGATTTTTTTCTTCCTCTGATTTTTCTTGTACAAGTAATTTAAATAATGCATCGTTGTGTCTACAAGCTCTTGCTATATTTGCTGCTTTTTCTGAAACTCTCAGAAGAATTGACAACAATCTGCTTCCGTCTTTCATTGTAATGATGAAATGATGTTCCAAATTTGATAACTACGATATTAATAATTTGTTAATAAATAAAATCTTTAACAAAAAAATTTACAAATTTACATTTGAATAAAAATTTTAAAGAAATATTTTAAAAAGTATGAAAAAATGTACGTTACACTGAATGTATTGATATAGTTTGGCGGGAATCCGTGTAAATTCTATTATATAATTATAGAATATTGACTTAATATAATATCTTGTATTTAAAAAATAAAAATAATAGCACAAACGTTTTGCACTTCTAAGAATATCTGAATATTAAAATAATTATTCATGCATCATAATTTGAATGACGCAAACAGACATTTCCATTTTTATCTAATAAATTCAATACAATATCATTAATATAAAATAACTTCTATATAAGAAAATATATTTAATAAAATTGGTTATATTAAATAAATTTATTACTTAATTATTTTATTAAATTTATAAATGATTAACAGTTTCTAAAAAATTTAGTTAAATCATGGTTATTCAATCTATTAATATATGTATATGATATATATATAAAGTAATAATGTAAAATTTAATAAAGTATTTAAAAACAATAAGCATATGAAATTAAAAAATTTATATACATCAATTTTTATTTTTTTAATAGAAAATCACTTTTTTATATTTACATTTTATATAAATTTTTAGTTCATGTACAATAGTTTCATTTATGTTTCCAAATATATATAACCTATCTTTCTCTTTGAATATAAAATACGGTAATATAATTAAGTTTAAATAACATTAACATAAGTGCATAATATTTCAATTTACTTTATTTATTTTAAAATTTTTATTTTTTTTAATGAATTTATAATAATGAATAATAATTTAAAAAAAAAATAAGCTAAATTAAATAGTATTCGTTATATATATATATAAAATTATTATATTATTTGAAAAGAATAATTGATCGATAAAAAGAAAAATATAATCATTTTTAATTTATTTTATGAAACGTAATAATTGTATTAATAAGTATATTATTCAATTTGAATATATTTTATCTAAAATAAAAATTAATATTTATTTATTAATACAAGAAAATAATAAAAAATGACAGCAATATTAGGTGCTGGTATATCAGGCTTATCAGCTGCATATTATGCACTTGAAAATACAAGAATGGCTCCATTAATTATATTAGAAGCTTCAAATCGTGTAGGTGGATGGATACGTTCTATAAAACAATCTGATGGAACGATTTTTGAAACAGGTCCACGAGTTATGAGAGCCAATACATATAATGTATTAAATTTAATAGAAGAATTAGGATTATCATCAAAAATCATTCCTATTAAAGCTAATCATCCTGTTGCTAAAAATAAATATATTTATGCAGATAATGTATTACATTGTTTACCTAATAATTTAAAAGGAATTATAACAAAAAACACATTATTAAATCGTTCTTTAAGTAGTATTCTATGGAATGACTTCAAAGCAAAGAAAATTCTTACAGATGATGAAAGCATATACAGTTTTGTAGAAAGGAGATTTGGCAAAGATGTGTCTGAAAAAATGATTGCTCCAATATTATGTGGAATTTGTGGTGGTGATATACATAAATTAAGTGCAAGATCATTTATGACAAATTTATTTGAAATTGAGCAGAAATATGGTTCTGTATTTATGGGTCTTATACAACAAAAATTTTCAAACATGTTAAATAATAAAAACAAAAACAAAATTGAATTGAAAAATGATATTCATACAATATTAAAATTACATAATACACCTTCAATTTTAGCACAAAGAGCTAAAAGAGAAGCATGGAGCACATGGGGTCTTGAAGGAGGTTTTGAACAATTACCTCAAACACTAGCAGAAAATATAATGAAACGTGGAGTAAATATAAAAATAAAACATAAATGTGAAAAAATCATATTTAATAAAGATTGTGTGGAATTAATTATAAATGGAAAAGTTGAAAAATATTCTAATGTTATATCAAGTTTATCTGCTAAAAGTTTAGCTAATTTAATACAAGAGCAACATCCAAAACTATCTAAAGAATTACATAGTATACCTACAGTAACAATAGCTGTAGTTAATTTTCAATTTTCTAAAAATGTTTTACCTATTGAAGCTTTTGGAGTTCTTATTCCACCAAAAGAAGAAATTCCAATTCTGGGTATAATATTTGATTCATGTGCCCTTCCTCAAAACTCCAAAATGACAGTATGTATAAACACAGTAGTGCTCAGTTAAATTTGACTAAAATCCATTTTAAATTTACATTCATTGTTAATAGCTTATTAATTTGAATTAATTTATAGTGTCTAATTTTAATATTGATTTTTTAATATGAGATTAATAGATAAATAGAAATGAAAAGAAAATAGATATAACAAGAGATAGTGAAAGATATCTCTATTGAATTATGCTCAAATCAAATTCTGATAAAAAATATATAATTCTGTAAATTTAATTTTTGGGTCTCAAACTTAGTTAAATTTAATTGAATACTGCTGTATAAATATTTATTATCTATTTTTTTTCTATTATAATTTCAATATTTATTACATAAATTTAATATTTGTTATAATGAATTTAAAAAAATTCTAGCAATAATACAAAATGATCTTAAAATTTAAACAAATTTTTACAAATATGTAATGGACTAGAAATACTTGTTGAATATGTACATCTTTTTTTAATCCAGGTACTGACAGTAATGATGGGTGGAGCATGGTTTGAAAAATACTTTGGTAAATGTTCATCTGAAGAACATTTAAAAATGATTGCAATTAAATATGTAAATAAACTTTTATGCATTAACGAAGATCCCAAGATATGTAATGTTTCCATTCTGAAAGATTGTATTCCACAATATATAATTGGTCACGCACAACGGTTAACTCGTATCCACGATTATATCTCCGCGCATAAAATACCTTTGGGGCTGTGTGGTTCTTCATACCACGGTGTAGGAGTCTCTCATGTTATTCTGTCAGCAAAAGAAGCTGTTTCTAGTATTAATCAATATATGATATAATTTATAATTTTCAAATTCAAACTTGACAACAACCTTGACCAATCAAATATATTTTAATTCTTTCTTTTGATTTAAAAACAAAATAATATACATGCAAGAAAATAACAAAATAGTAATGATAAATAAGCCAAGATAATCTTTTTCTTTAAAAAATAAATTACAATTTAATTTCAAACATGCGTTATTCATGCTGTATAATAAAAATACAAAATATAATTCTTATATTAAAATGAAAATAATAAATAAAAGGAAATAGAATATTAAAATTGAAAAATGATATAAAAAGGATATAAAAATTTGGAATAATTATTCCAAATTAGCATTTAAAAAAATTATTTAGAGTTGGAAAAATTTTATACTTATTAAGATAAAATATATGTAAATATGTATTTTTATTATAAAATGTAAATTATTGTTTATAAAATAAAACATAAAATATATAAAGAAGATATAAGTATTTGTTTATATATTCTATTTTTATATACATAAATGTAATACTACTAATACTCAAAACAAAGAGTAATAGTATTATAATATAAAATAATTATTACAATTTAATATTATTTATAAAATATATATATATATATAAATATATATATAATTTATAAAAATCCAAAAATATATTTCTTTTTGTATAACAAAAAGAAATGAATGAATCTTAAATATATTATAATATTTTTAATTATGTAGATAAGCAAGCATGAAGTATCATAAAAATGCAGCACACAAGCATTCCATATTTGTAAATAAATCAAAACTACTATAATGCTATATTTATATTTATATTAAATAACAGTATATTCAATAAAAAATTTTAAATAATTTGCTTATATTCAAATTTTATTTAAATATTCTTTAATAAAGAATTATAAAAATAATTATTCTTTTAAGAAGACTACAACAATACAGAAAGAATAATAAAGAACTCAATATAATTCTTTCTATAATAAATTTAAGCACAATAAAAATATTTTGTTATATGCTTTGATATCAACAAATGAAATCTACTGACTAACTGTACCTGCATATTTAACTTCATCGAATGCTTTTCTAGCTTTCTTTAATTCTTCATTCATTGTTAAAAGATCTTTAACTCTTGCATATTTCCTTGGATCTTTTCTAACTATAAAATAAAATAAAATAAATTAACTTAAAATTTATATTATATCCTAAATAATCAATAAACTTATATTAAAATGTTTAATAAAATATATAAATAAATTATAATATTAATATTACCTAAAAATACAATATCCTCTACTTGAACACGACCAGTACGACCAATTTCCATAGCTCTATGTGTCATTTCAGTAATAAATTCAATAACAAGATCTTCTAATAAATCTACACTTTCTGTATAAGGATTTTGATCATCACCAAAACCATACATCATACAGCGTAGTTCTTTCGAAAACAATCGTTTTCTACCACCAGGTAAAGTTCCACCAATTGGAATTTCGGCCTCCTCATCTTCAAACTGTGATAATTTTAATTTTTTTTTCACTGATAATTTTAATTTAAATGTTTAATTTTCCAAAAATATTAAAATTATTAAATCAGTTAGTATTTTGTTAAGGTTAGGTTCATAAATAATATTAAATATCAACATATATTAAAATAAGAAAATCGAATAAAATATTTATTAAAAACCTGTTCAAAACCTTCTTCTGTGGTCATAATTTAATATTTGCAAAAATTTGGTAAAAATTTAAAAAATATTTCACACAGTGAAAAAATACAAACTCGCTATCACATAAAACGTAACGTTGTAAATATAGTTGATTTGAAATTCATTTTAATAGTTCGTAAACGTTTTTCAGAAGATATTGTGAATAATTATGTTTTTTGATATTTGAGAAAATACAGAATTATGTCGCCAGCAATTCCTACGCCAAAAACTTGGAAAGAAACTAATCGTTTACATAAAGAACAACGAAAAAGATGGAAGGAAGAGAGGTTAGCCAAGAAATTCGAAAAAGAAGAAACTAAAAAAAAATTACAGAAAGAAGTATTTAAACCCATTAAGAAACATTTTGAAAAAAAAGATATTTCGACAATCAGTATTGCAGTTCCTGGATCAATTTTAGACAATGCTCAATCTCCAGAATTACGAACATATTTAGCAGGACAAATAGCACGTGCAGCATGTGTTTATAAAATAAATGAAATTATTGTTTTCGATGATAAAGGAGAAATAATTGAAAGTGAAAAGAAAAAAATACGAAACGACGAAGTATTAGGTGAAAGACGAGTTGGATGTTTGCAGTTAGCTAGAATATTACAATATCTTGAATGTCCACAATATTTAAGGAAATATTTTTTTCCTATTCATAAAGATTTGCAATATGCTGGAATATTAAATCCTGTAGATGCTCCACATCACTTACGTCAGCAAGATATATCTTTATATAGAGAAGGAGTAGTTACAAATAAACCAGTTAAATCTGGTAAAGGTTCTCATGTGAATGTAGGATTATTAAATGATGTTTGTGTGGATAAAGTATTAACTGCTGGATTAAGAGTTACAGTCAAAATACCTGAAGAGCAATCAAATCTAAAAAAATTAAAAGGATTTATTGTTCCACCTGATATTCCTAGATCAGATACTGGTATATATTGGGGATATACTGTGAGATTAGCTAATAATCTCACAGAGGTATTAACACAATGCCCTTATAAAAGTGGATATGATTTGACCATTGGTACTTCAGATAAAGGAAAATCAATTGATGATATAGAATCAAAAGGCATTGAATACCACCATGCTTTAATAGTATTTGGAGGATTATCTGGATTAGAAGCTGCAGTAGATTGTGATCCTAATTTGGATGTGGATGATGCTTCTTTGGTATTTCATCAATACTTGAATACTTGTCCTCAACAAGGATCAAGAACTATTAGAACGGAAGAAGCTATTTTAATTACATTGGCAGAATTAAGAACAAAATTGTTTCCTAAAATTCCTTCATTACCAAATACTCAATTTAAAAGTTTTGTAAATTATTGAACTATTAGTAAATATAAATAATTGTAAGTAATAATATGAAAAATATAAAAATTTTTGCTTTTTATTTTTATTTTTTATGAAAATTGTATAAAATTATACAATATTTTCAAAACTTTTAATATAAGTATATGTATGTACAAACATATAATTTTATAAGAAAATGTTTTTCTCTTTTTTATTGTTTAATTATTTTGTAATACACAATTTACTGTATCTCTTAAAATTTTAATAACTTTTGCTTGATCAGAAGAACCTATGACTGCTGTTCCAGAGACAATCATGTTTGCACCAGCCTAAAAAATATATATATGTAATTTATTTTTTTTGTTATAAAATGAAATTAATAGAATTATATATACCTTTGCACATGAATCAATAGTTTCTGGTCCAACACCACCATCTACTTCTATATCTAATGTAGGATAATTTTTTCTAAGCCATGATACTTTTTCCATCATTGGTTCCATGAATGTTTGACCACCAAAACCTGGTTCTACAGTCATAATTAATACCATATCTGCTAAATCGATATATTCTATAACTACATCTACTGGAGTCCCTGGCTTAAGTGCAACTCCAACCTTTCATTTAAAAAATATGAATTTAATAATTTTTTAATTAAGCAAATTTAATTTAAAAATATTATATATAAAATATGAAAATACATACTTTCATTCCTGCTTCTTTTACTTTTCTACAAATTAATGAAACATTCTTTACTGGTTCAACATGAAATGTATATTGATTAACACCAGCATCAGCCATAGGTTCTATCCACTAAAATAAAGAAAAAAATATTGTCATATAATGTTTTTTAAATGAAATTTATTTAAATAAATATATAGAAATACTAATTTTTTTTTAAATTAAAAATTCATTTTCAAGTATAAAATAAAATAAAACATACCTGATCAGGATTAGAAACCATCATATGTGTTTCAAAAAAGGCATCTTTTATTTTATGTCGAAGACATTTTACTAATGGGTGACCAAAAGTGAGGTTAGGTACAAAGTGACCATCCATAACATCTAAGTGTAAATAATCAGCACCATTATTAATTAATCGTTGTGATTCTTCCGAAAGTTGTGCCAAATTAGCATTTAGAATCGAAGGACCAATTTTTGCAGTCAATTTTTTTGACATTTTTTTTTTTTAAGTAAAAAATATTACAGAAAAATGAAACACGTGTTTTCAATAAAAATGATAATGCATTATCGAATGACTTAATGATCTTTCATACAAGGTCACTTCATTTTTTTTTTAATTTTTTACATTAATTAAGAAATACAATAAATTAAATTTTAATTTAAAAATTAAATAATAGGAAATAAATATAGTGCAAATTTATAAACACTGTACGAAATGAAATACATTTATTTATACATAAAAATATAGCAGTTACAATAGACAATAGATTATGATAATTTTTCAGATGAAAGATTAAAATAGATAAAAAGTATTAATTAATAATAATAAGCGAAATAGGAATTGAGGTCAAAGAATCGATTTTTTTTTTCATCGAACATAAAATTACATAGAATTTAGTAATTAATCTTATTATATCAGATTAAACGAAATCTTTTTTATTATATCTACTTATTAAGTCGATATATAAAATAAATAAATAATTTGTTTAAACTAGATGAATCCTCATTCAAGAGGTATCGCAATATAGATAATAATTAAATATTGAAATATATAGCTTAACTTACTATTTTAAACTTGCTAAAGTCATTATCATAATCGAATATAAAACTCTTTGGCACCTTAAAATCTATTATAAAAGTTTTAAGTAAAATAATGGCTGCGTTTTAATTGATAATAATTAAACGAAACGTTATTAATTTTTGAACGCATTGTCATGTTTTTAGTACCAAAATATAATCTCGCTGCATAGAATTATGCATAATGCTCATACTTAAAAATAATACTATATGACCACTAACGAACACTGAAATTTTGCGCAAAAAGATTATGGCATATCGTACAATAGTAAAAAGAGATCAATCCGGATTTATTCTTCCATAATTTATTTAATTAACCGTCCGAGACACTTCTTTTTCGGGCTGAAAAATAATACACATTTATTTAAACTTTTTCTTTCAGAAAATTTTATTCATAAATTGAACGATTTTATAAAATTTATTATATTTATAAAATCGTCAAAAAATTAAATATCTTCTGTATAATCTATTTTAAAATAAATAATGAATTAAATAAATTAAAAAATATTAAATTTAAATAAAAGTTAGAAACTTACGCGCAAGGGATAAAGGAATGTACTGACGACTTGTTGACGATTTCCAGACTTCGCTTGACAAGTATAACCACCCATATCTTCCCATAAGAGTTCCTCTATCATTAAGTCACCACTATCTAATACTCTATGTCGCAAATTAGTTGATAAACTTAGAGGTACGTTATAGTTATTCACCCAAGTAATTTGCGGTGTTGGTTTGCCACTTGCCCTGCATGGCAATACCACAGTTACTCCTATATTTGCTACTAATGTAGGAGAATAAAGAGTGATTATTGGATCACTTTCAGAACTGCAATTACTTAAACCACGTTCATCTGTAAGAAAAGAATAATTATTGAGTAAGATTTTATATGATAATTTAAATTGAAATTTTTTAACATTTAAGATTTTATCAGTATTCTATCTAATGATGAAGAATTGAACTAATAATTTTAAAATATTAAAATATTTCTTTTATACAGAATTTATTATATATTCCAAATATAACTCAAAAACATTAATGTTAATTATTTTGCGATGACAAAATCATGTTAATAGATGTCTATTTCGTTCGAATCTGAAATATAATTATGTGTGTATCAATTTCTTTATCTGTTGCAGAGAGTAATACTAATTTTTAATAAAAAATCTCAAATATAAACGTTATAATTATGTAATTATTTGTATGATATTGCTTTTGAGTTAATTAGTGATTATTTTACATAAAAAAAGAAATACATATAAAAATATATCTTTTTAGTCAAAAATCTTAAATACTCATCAATAATATGTTAACATCGATTTGATGAATCGAAAAGATTATTATAATCATTTATTTTGAAAAAATAATAAGACAATTGATATTGTATTCAATTGCAAATAATATATGGGAAAAGATCTAAAGTTTTATGAATTACTTATTAGAGAAATATGCGAATACATTATATAAAATAAGAGGGTTGCGTGACAGTTGGTCCAAGCTTCATGTTAATATAGTTTTAGATTGTTAATATTCCACTTACTATTAACCAGCAGCACCGTAGGAGTAGAGATCTTCACCTCTCTCGCAGAAACTGACGCACAATAGATTAATCCAGCATCATCTGGAGTAACGCATTCTATCACGAGCTTTGAATTAATTCTGGCCACTCCTTTCCACTCCTCGGATGGATCGTACAAGGAATGCGTACTGGCTTTCACATACTCGATTAACTACGACAAAAAAGATATTACGAATTAATATCTTCCTTCTTTCTCTTGCTCATAATGTAAAATTGTATTCATCCGTGATATTCACTTGTTCGTTGCTACCACTTCCTGTGAACCAGAGAATTTCCGGCGGAGGACTACCGCTAGCTTTGCATTCTAATTCCACCCTGCTTCTGCAATAACAAAAAAAGCACAATATTATCAATATTATTGTTACATTTGCGTTTTCATTTATTTTAATATGTCATATTTACCCCACAGTAGTTTCGATACCGTTTACTGGGTTCTGAGTGATAGTAGTCCATGGTTCTACTGGCTGTATCAAATCAAAACAATTCAATATTAGATTGCGAAGATTTCATAGAAGTTGAATTTTTTTCAAATCTCTCTTCGAAATTAAATCTTTATTAATCTCAATTTTATATTTCTTTTCAAATCAAATTCATTTCTTTGCCAATTAAGGAGATATTTGATTAAAGAAATATAATAGAAATTGATTATTACTTTTGATTCAGAACGTGTTCCATATTCCGATAACGGCGTCAGGAAATTAGAGTTGTGTTCTATCATTTGCCTGCTTATGCTCCTACGTTCCGCAGCTCGTTCGACGGCATGTCGTGGTAGGAACGAAAAGGGGTGTCCCGAAACCGTATACACGGTAATAACGAAAATAATAGTAATAAAAAAAACGAGATTGATCAGCATCTGAAACAAAATCAAAATTATGAATAAAAAATAAAAGAAGACTAATACCGTTAATCGGAACATCGGAATAACAATATTATATCAAAATGAACGTGATTTGATGAATGTGAAAGGACATTGTGGAATGATTAAATCAGAATGATGTTGAGGAACACTAACGTCACGCTCTTTTCGCAGAAGTTGCTCCGATTGAATATAACAATGCGGATTTAATTGTCGGGTTAGGTGCGCGAGATTTATAATATCGATTCATTCAACCTTCCTTCGGGGATACGAATAAACACAATTGGCAACAATGAAATTCAACAATGAAATTCTTGAGAACGGGACGATAATTAAATATATGTGATAATGTAGGGGAGACATATCACATCTCATTCTTTCTCTTTTCTGCTTACCCCTTTATCGGATCGTATCATTATGGCTTAATTTCGTTTAATAATTTCACCGACAATGCGCCGATAATATTACGATCTTTACTTCGATTTTACCGTGATTTTACGTGATTTTAACACACTTTCTTAGATCCGACACGTTTTACGGGAATCGGCTCGTTCAATGTCACCGTTAACTAGAACCGTTAATGGAAGAATTTTTTTTAAAAACGGAACGATAATTTAAAATTATACGTGGAAATGATAATCAATTTCAAAACTGAAGAAATCGGTACGGCAATTAAGTTTCACACAACGAGAATCTCGAGACGATTTCAGATAGAATTATTCCATAAGTCGTGCGGTTGAATCTGTCGCATGGCCTGCTCGTTAACGTGAGCATCGAAATCACCAAATTAAAGAGATTTCCTTTATCTATCGTATTTTATTCTCTTCGTATAAAACACGACACTCGATACCTTCGCCCTGTATCCTTCCGACGATATAATACCGACAACGTGTCGCGCGAGGAATACCCGATTTCTGAATGACATATATCTCTCTCTTCGACTTAAATCGGTGTGTCTCTCTCACGGTTCTTCCACTTCGATACGTCCGTTTAGGATTTTAGAATGCGTGAACGTGCTGGCCGCGTCGTTTACCGTGACTTTGAGGCGTTCCCTTGCCTTCGGGATCGGTCCTTCTCAACCAAGTTCACGAATAAAATTTAGATGCTACCGCATCATTTTATCTTTGGCGTCTTCTCGTCTCGGCTTTCTCTCGCTCCCCCTTTTCCTTCCCGTGACGGTCGTTACACAGTGTTACTGAGCAAGAGGAGGAAGGAAGGTCACGCGTACCGTTTAAAAGAGATTAAGTAACTTGGGCTGTTAACGAGACAAGATGTTTGGAAATGAATTCGCGCGCGGAGCGTTAATGAACACATATGCGGTGCAAAAAAATAAGGGAGAATCTGGAGACGATACACGATGCGACGTGTTGGTGTGCGTAACTTTTTTTTGCTGCAAACACTTGCATGCAGCGTGTCCCCGAGGAAGAGTTAAAAGTGGCTAAAACTTCCGAGATATTGGACGATTTATCGTCTCGTCAATGAGATGAATAAGTAATTCCTTCGATATTTCGATTTCGATTATTACAGATCATAGTGATGTTTAAATATAAATGACACAGTGGTGTTTCGTTTAATTTATCTGGAAAATAATTAGTTGCGCAAGCAAAAAGTATTATATAAATCTAAGCGGCAAGGTATTAATGTGTTAACAATGTTATCCGAAACATTTAATGAATGTATATATTTTGAATGTGCGAGAAAAATATTTTTTAAGCACATTTTGCTATTAAATGTGTTTTGTATACTAGCTTGCACGTATTCTTTCGAAAAATTAGAAATTGAACATCATCTAATAATTTAATTTAATTATGTTATTGAATATATAATTAAATATTTTGGATATAAATTTTCTTGTAAATTTTAGTTTTTCATATCTTGTAATTGATACATGCGTAAAGAATAATAATAATTTATATTCTTAAATAAAATAATTATCTAAGATCGAGGAATTATTATAACTTAATTCAATTTTCACCGAGTGATCGAAAGGACTAATAATATTGCGTTAGTGTAATTCTGCGGTTAAAAATTACAACACAGCTGGAATGTAATCGAAAAAACTGATATGAGACCAGGTGAGATGATGTTATCGCGAAGCAATGTTTAAACACCTCTAAACCTCTATGAGTACATTATGATGAAATTAATCGAAAAGTGTCAACCGATTAGAAAATAAGAGAAATCGGACAGTCTATGAAAATGAGGAAAGTTGGTCGAAATTTTGCTTGTTAAAATATATGTAACTAAAAATAGAATGCAGTTCTCCGTACGTTATCTGCTTTCGAGAAACTAAGAAGTAATATAAACTTCTCAAAAATCTATATTTATATGTATTTAAAATTTCGTCCGCCTTGTCATTTCTTATGATTATCTCTGCTATTTAACAAATCTCATCTCACCGTCCCCATTATCTCTCTTTTCACATAAAAATCTATTTGCACGTGGTCACGTAGCTTTTTAACGGGGCGTTAATACTATTCTGAAAATTTGAATCGATCCTTACCTTTGAACTTATGAATCACGATGGGTAATTGTCACACGTAGAAAACGTCCGCAAAAATATCGAATCTGGTACTGCTACTAGATAGAACTTTCGATAAAGATACTCGCGCCGGAGATGCTTTCTAGGAGCGCACATCACGGGAGGAGGTTTCGAACCGAATGATGCAACTTCTTATACAATCTTCGCATCTTCCCTATGATCTCGCGCCCTCTTTCCGCGGAGCCCTTTAACGCATCGTAATCTAGAGATGATATCAGGGAGACCGTAAACCGCGATAAGGAAATATGCAGTATGAAACACGAAAGACGAAATATGAATGAAAATTTTTTACTCTCCTCTTATTTCTAGACATATGTATGCAAGAATATAATATTAATTTATTCTTTTTGAAAAAGTAAAAAAAAAAAAAGAGGAAAGAAAATGAAATTCTTTCTTTTCTTTTTTCAAAATGTACATGAGATATAAGTTATTTATATTATTATAAAAAATAATAAAAAAAAGAAGGAAAGAAATATTTCTTTCTCGTATATTTTTTTCCTTTATTTTACTTTTCTTTCTTTTTTTTTTGAAAGAAGAATATAACATATTTTTAAATTAAACACGTATTAAAAAGAAAGAAAGAAAAAAAAAAAGAAAATGAGAGAAAAAAAATTTTTTTTTTCTCCAAACTATAAATTATTAAAAATTCTTTTATTTATTTGTTTCTTTTCTGTTTCTTATGATATCTACATATAGGAATATATATCATTTTTAAGAATTAAAAAAAAAAAATGAAATTTCGAATAGAAAGGATTTCTCCTTTTTATTTAAAAAAAAGCAATGTATAAAAAAATGAAGAAAAAAAAATAATATTTAACTAGAAAAAGTTCTAATTAACCATGGTTTATTGACAGAATGGCCAATTCGGATTTTTATCGTCTGTCAATCGTATAACAAACGTAAACATCGTAAAAAAAGTATCCATAAAACAACGAGTCCTAGGAACCCCGTTGAAAAATCAAACTCACCATTTCTTTGTCGACTTTCTCTCGATCTTGGAAAACGATTGTTCACTATTTTATTATCAGTTTGGCAGGAATAAAAATACTGACTGAGCGTCGAGGAACAGATATTGACACATTTATATATTTCGAATGTGGCGACAGGCGTCTTTGCTTATTTCTGATTGGACGATATATGGAAGAGTAGGAGTAATAAAAACCACACCAAACAATTGAATTCATTATCCGTGCGTTTGTGCACACGTAATAGTCCTACCCAATTTACTTCCACCCTCTATACTCATCATCGATTTTTACTTCGAAAGAGACCGCCGCGATAATTATTTTTATTGAAACTGATCGTACCAGGAAGGAGGCGATCACAATTACCCCCAACTAGCATCGTCTCGGTCGAACTCAACTGGAATTTCAGCTGCCGAAATTTTTCTAGAAGTACCCCTTCAATTGGTCGAAATGTAACGTAAAATATGTGAACTAACCGCGAATAAGTGGTGAAAAATAATTATTGATATTCGATAAATTGAAAGAATATATCGTAACGAGAATTGATCTTACTCAATTATGAATTATGCCTGTAACTTAACAACGATGGATCCTGCAGGTCCTAAAACATGTTTAATGAGCTCCTTTTCAAAGTAATTAAACAACTTTTGAAAGTTTCATAAATGGAATTATTATCGTATATACTATTACTATAATATTGTATAATATATTTATAGGTTATTTTAATTTTAATTATTTTTGTAATGTATATTATAGTATATTATAGTATATTAGAGTGTTATAGATATTTTTTTTTTACAATATATTAATTTTCGAAAGGGATAATATTTTATATTTTTAAATATAAAATATTAATTTTATAAAATATATGTATATTATTTTTATTATTTTATTATTTTTTATTATTAATATATATTAATATATATAAAAATTTGCTATTATTTTTAACTTTTCCTTGATGAAACAATGTTGGAAAATTTAGTATCTTATTTCTTTTAGTTTATCATAAATTATATTATAAATTAACTCGTTATATCACTCGTATATTTTTTTGATTTCCAATAAAATAATTTTAAAATAAAATATTTTAAAACTATAAAAAATTGGATTGATTTTTATATAATTTAGAAAACTTGAAATATATATTATTATAATAAATTTATATTATCTCGAATAGAAAAATAAAAATTTTTTAGTAAATAATATCAGATAGTTTAATATTTTTATAATTTTTGTATCTTATAAATTATATGAAATAATAATGAATTATATATAATGTTATATTAATTTAATTTAAATTAAATTAAAATAAAAAAATATACATCTATAAAATTAAAAGAAAAATGCATAACACTATTTTAATACATTTATTATTATTATTATATTAATATTAAATTACTCATTATTAAAATAAATGAAAGAAATTAATAAATTTTGAAAACAATGAAAAAATCATTAAAAATTAATTGTTAAAAAGTAAAAAATAAAATTATATTACTATTTCATTAAATAAATTTTTTTTTTTAATTTTATTTTGATATAATATACGTATTTTTCTCAATAGATCGTATTTTTTTCAATTTTTATTCATTATATTCATTAGTTTATGTTCGATCGATTTGATTACCTACTGCGATAATCCAAAATCGTGAATTACAATCAGTGGATATTTTATCGTCAGAGATCAAATAGAAGTGGCAATATTATCGATCTATTGCGTTATGTTATATTAAGAGAAACTATTTTAAATACACACAAATTTTAAATAATTATAAAGATTAATAGGAATTAAATTTTATGAATAAAATATATTTTTTAACGCTATATATATTAAAAATTAGAAAAAATTTTATTTATTTTGGATTCTTCATTTGTACATTATTTAATTCTAATATAAAAAAATAATTAGATTTCATTTGATTTTATTTCAATTGCGTTAAGCAATTTAGCTGTATTTATGATATCTCCTTCTATATCTTTTAAGTTTTTATCAACATCATTTACACCTTTCAATACATCTTGCAAAATCTGTAAAAAAAAGAAATTATCATGTCATATATTAAAATCAAATGATTAAAATAAAAAAATTATAAAATAAATATGATTTTTATAAAATTAAATAACAATATTATTTCATATATTATAAAAAGAGGTAATAAAATACAAAATAATAAATCTATTTAAAATGTACAAATTTTATTTTTATATGTAAATATAACCTCTAACCATTTTTATGTTTTGATAAAGTAACATAGTATTTTCTTCTTTATATTGTGAAGAAGATTCATAAAAAGATGCTGAAGATGTTGATTGATTATCCATTTTAATATATTATTTTATTTTTTTCAATTTTCTTAAATTTAATCAATATTGTCAAATTCTATTTAAGTATTATTCAATTTAAATTCCCTAGTTAACTTTCGATAAATATCTGACATTTAACGTATTGTGTAAATGAACCTTAAATATTTGTTGCTTTATATTATAGCCAACTGTAATAAATATGTAAAATCTCTATGATACTATAAAAAAAGATATACAAAGAAATTATTAATTGTATTATATATATATTTGATATTATAATTTATATATTATAGAAAGTTTTATATTAAATCTATTTATATACAATATTTTATATACAATACAATAATTTTGTGAAAATTATTTGTAAGATTTCTCATTTAATTTTTGTTAATCTATGATATTGATTTTATATAGTTTCAAATAAAGTTAAAAGAGTGCGCTGATAGTTGAATATATTTTATATTGACTTGTCTATCTAATATGATAAGTTTGACTTGTTATTATGCTTGTAATTATTAAAAAAAGACTACAATAGCTTTAAAATGATATTAAGTATAATATGTTATAACACTTATTATATGTAGAAGTAATTTATTAACATGAAAATGTATGTATTAATATGACGTATAATATACAAATAATATAAAATGACGTATGTAAGTTAAAATTTGTACAATTTCTTATTATTTGATTTTTAATTTATAGTAAATGATATAATTAAGAAAAAATCTTAAATTTTATTGCTTAAAATATTATTTTAAATATATTTAAAAAATAAAATTAAAGATATATATATGATACTGTGTTTTATTTGAAATTTAAGAATATTTTTTTTAGATTGTTTTGATTGTCACTTATGTATAAAATGTTATTTTATATAAAAATGCTCAATTATAATCAGATTATTGAAATTATAACTTTTGTTAATGTTGATATAGAAAACATATTTTAAAATATTTTTGAAATAATGAAATGATGGAAGCACAAACAGATATTTCTGTTTTGCGACCACCAGTTAATTTAAGAAATATAAATACTGGCAATGTTTTTTACACACCTTTAACTTCATTTGCTGGTATGTACATACTTATAAAAGTAATTTTTCATTATTTTAAATTTTATATAAATATTTAAATATTTCTTTTGATATCTATAAATTTTGCAGAAATGTGGTATCAAATATTTTTATGGGCCCTATTTTCTTCTATTTTTGTTCATACTATAGCTGGTGCAATTTGTTTTGCTACATTAAGACAACATAAATATGGAAAGTACGTATAGTTAAGTATATTTAAGTAAATTTATTAATAATGTATATAAATTTATAATACAATATTATATCAATGTTCATATATATTAAAAAAAAATTATAAATAATAATAATTATGAATGAATTTAAGAATAAATATATAAAATATTAAAATTTTTTCTATGTATGATATTTTTAGAATATAAAATAATATAAGTAAACTTTTATTTAAAGATTCTTCCCATTGTTGATTATAATAATGGGTGTAATATTACCACTAACATCAGGAGTTCTTAGCTCTGCTGCTGTTGCTTTTGTATACAGAGCATCTCGATATCCACTGCCACCATTATATGCATTATTTTGGGGTATTGGTCAAACTGTTGTAGCAGGATGTGTTGGGTTCACAAGAATATTAGCAACTTTATAATATAAATTAAAATTTGTATATGAATGATGCACAAAATATTGTTATTTAGAAATGTTATATGTAATATATTATGAGAATTTTCAAAATTTGAAGAACAAATGAATAGCATTTTATTAGTATTAGTTCTTATATATAATTAGTATATATTAGCATTAGATAATAAAATTT